ACACACTGCTGCCATTGTGGTGGAGGGTGCGAATATTAAAGGTGGTGAATTGTGTGGCAGCCAAGTTGACTGTTATGTCCTGGGTAGTATTGAGCTTCTTGAGTGTTGCTGGAGCTACACACATGTAAGCAAGAAGAACATACTCTGACACATTCCTGACTTGTGCCTTGTGGACAGACATTTGGGGAGACAGGAATTGAATTATTCATCGCAGAATTCCTGGCATCTAACTTTTTTTTGACTTCATTATTTATATGGCTAGTCCATTTCAGCTTCTGGTTATTGGATAATGTTAGTGAGGATTCAGCATTGGTAATGCAAGAGTTATATCTTCCCTTGTTGGAGATGGTCATTGCCTGACTCTTGCATGATATCAATGTTATTAGCTACTTAACAGCCCAAGCCTGAATGTTGGCCAGGCCTTGCTACATAAGAATTTACATTTCTTCCATATCTAAGAAGTGGTGAATGGTATTGAACAATATCAAAGTGTCAGCGAACATCCTCAGTTCTGGTATTACAATGCAGGCAAGGTCATTGAAGGTCATCTGAATATGGTAGAGCTGAGGACGTTATCCTTAAGAACTCTAGCAAGGATATCTGAGGATAGAGATGATTGATCCCAAAAAACCATGACCATCTTCCTTTGTACTAGGTATGATTCCAACCAGCCACAAATATTTCTTAATTCCCAATGCCTCCAGCTTTGCTAGGGCTCGTTGAAGGTGTCCTCTGTCAAATGGTGCTACCTGGCAGTCTCACTTAATTCACGTCTGGAGTTTATTCTTTTGTCCATGTTTGGGACCATAGCCATAATGAGGTTGAGAGCTGACTGATCCTGGTTGGACCCAAAGTAGTTATCAATGAGCAAATTATCATTGAGTAAGTGCTGTTTGATAGCACTATTGATGATCTCTTCCATAATTTTGCTGATGGTGGAAAGTGAATTAATATCATGGCAATAGTTCAGGTTGAAAGCTTCCTACTTTCTGTGGAAATCACCCAACTGGGTGGTGTTCCATGATGCCAGTTTTGTAACTGTGCTGGAACAGTTTGGGCAAGGGAGAAGCTAGTTCTGGAGCACTAGTTTACAGGCTTATTTACAGAATGTCGTCAGAGTTCAAACCTTAGTAACATCCAGTGTCTTCAGCCATTTCTTGATATCATGTACAGTGAATCAAAAATGGGCTGACAGCTGGCATCTGTGATACTGAAAGTCTCAGAAGGAGGCTTGGATGAGTTTTTGCTCAGCACTTCTACTTGATGTTGGGTGTAAATGCTTCACTCATAACCATTGACCTTAACAGAACTTGAGAAGCTCAAAGCCATACAGAAGAAGAGAGATTTGATAATCTTGTAGTCTTAGAATGTGGGGTCAATAGGATTCATTGTGTCAAATTTGCCAAATTTACTTCAACAGCACATTCCATTCTCTACGAAGAAGGGCACAGGGAAATTAGAGTAAGGGAGAAAGAAAAGTAGTCCAAAACAGAGTTACGTACATGTATATGAATGCATGGAGTATAGTAAGTAAAATTGGGGAGTTATAGGTGCAGATTGCAATGTTGAATTATGATGTTGTGGCAATGATGGAGACCAGGCTCAGGAAAGGGCAACCACTGGGTGTTAAATATTCCTGGGCAAAAGTTGTTCAGAAAAGATAGAAAAGGAAGGAAAGGAGGAGGTCTAGCACTATTGGTTCAGGAGAGCATTGCTGTGCTGGAGAAGGAGCATGTTTAGGAGGGTTTTCAGGGGCAGAGTCATTTTGTCCAGAGCTACAGAATAAAATGGTGCATTTACATTGTTTGGTGTAGTCTGTAAACCACTAACTAGTGGAAAGGTATGAGAGTAATAAATCTGCAGAGAAATTGCAGAAAAATGCCAACATTAGAGTAGTTTTGTACATTCGAACACCTTTTCCCATGTCCTTAACCCAACCCTCACACAGCAGGCCTTGTCATCAAATGGGCTGCTGTCACAACCATCTCTTTGTCGGCTACTAATTGTCCCAATTAGCAACCAGTTATTCCCCCATGCTAACCTTTACCCATTCCTTTATCTGTCCAACTGTTTTCTCTCTCCCTGAGCTTTATCTCTACCTATTGTTTACTCCTTCCCCCTCTCCCTACCTCATGTTCATCACATATACCAAACTTTTCCCAACTACAGTCAGTTCTGGATCTGAAATGTTAACTCTGCTTTCTCTCCACAGATGCTGCCAGACCTCAGTTTTCTTAGCCATTTCTATTTTTGTTTTAGGTTAATTATAATGGGTGACTTCAATTCCTCAAATATATACTGGGATACTGTATAGATCCCTATAATGTGTTCGGGAGAGTTTCCTTGAGCAGTATGTGTTTAGTCCAATAAGAGAGAATGGTTTGTTGGACCTGCTCCTTGGAAATAAAGTGGGCCAAGTGTCAATGAAGGAATATTTAGAAGATAGTGATCATTGTATCATTAGGTTTAGAATGGTGTTGGAAAATGACATACAACAATACAAAGAAAAATCAATTAGCAGAGAGCCGACTTCAGTGCAAGAGCTCAACTTGGGCTGGATCAATTAGAACAAGACGTTGGCCAGAGAAACAGTAACTAAACAATGAGCCTATTTCAAACAGCAGAAGGTTAAGATACGGTCATTCCCTCTAATGGAAAAGGTAGGACAAACAAATTCAGTGTTCCCTAGATGACAAAGTAGATAGAAATTAAAAATAAAAAGAATGGTGTGCTTATGGCTGTTGTAAAGTAGAAAATACAGCTGAGAATCAACAGAAAAACAAGGGTTATGGGGGAAGTTGAAAAAGCAAATAAGAGAAACAAAGAGGAACTATGCGAAAAGACTATCAGTTACCACTAATGGAAGTTCCAAAGACTTCGACAGACGTATAAACAGTAAGAGAGTGGTTAAAGGAGGAGTAACACCATTCAGATCAAAAAGTGGATTTACATGTGGAGGCAGGTGCAAAGCTGAAGTATTGAATGAATACTTTGGCATCCTCCTTGGTTGTAAAGCGAGATGCAGTAGAATTAATCGGGAGAAATCTTAGGAAGACTGTTAGTGCTTAAAGTTGACAAGGAACTGGATAAGATGCATTCAACGACTTTGAAGGGAATGAGGATATAAGTTGCAAAGGCAGTGGCCCATAATCTTTCGGTATTCCCTGGACTTGGGAGATGCCAGAAGACTGGAGCATTGTAAACATTATGGCTTTGTTCAAGAAAGGTTTCAAGGAAAATCCCTGCAATCCCTTTATTGAAGAGGTAGCAGAAAGTGTTGGGGAGGGTAATGCTGTTGATGTATATATGGATTTCCAGAAGGCGTTTGATACAATACCACACAACAGATCTGTGAGGAACGTTCTAGGTGGTAGTACATAAATATATGTCAGATATAAAAGGAACAATTTGCTGAGTAGTAGAAAACTAAGAGTAATCGTTAATTAATTATTTTTGGGCTCGAAGAGGGTTTGTAATGGAATTTCCCAGGGATCAGTTTGGATCTTGCTTTTCCTGATATATATTACTGATCTCAGAACACAGGAGACAATTTCAAAGTTTGCAAATGACATTGAACATGGAAGAATTGTTAACTGAGAGGAGGGCAGGAAGAACTCCAGAAGGACATTGACAAGTTGGTAGAGTGTTCTGATAGGTGGCAGGTCAGGTTCAATACAGAGAAATGTGAGGTAATCACTTTGGTCAAAAGAATATTGAAATACAACATTAAACAGGGGAACAAGACTAAGGAGGGTGTCGCAACCTGGGTGTATATGTGCATAGATCATTGAAGGTGGTAGGACAGGTGAATTGAACAGTTAATAAAGCACTCAGTGTTCTAGGCTTTATTAATAGGGGCATAAAGTACAAGAGCAAGGTAGTGAGGTTGAACTTGCGCAAGGCACCCTTTAGGCCTCAGTTAGGGTATTATCCGCAGTTGTGAGTGTCACATTATTGGAAAAATCTGAATGCTTTGGAGAGAGTTCAGAAGCAGTTCACAAGAATTGTTCTAAGAATGAAAGCCTCTAGTCATTTGGAATAGCTTGAGGAATTTTAGACACTTTCATAAGAGAAGAAGGCGGAGAGGAGATTTGATAGGGGTTTTCAAAATCATGAGCAGGTTAAATTGAGTAGACAGGGGGAAACTGTTCCCACTTGTAAAAGACAAATGAGTGCACGTAGTTTTGAAGTGCAAACAAAGCAAGGGTGATGTGAGAAAAACCCTTTTCAAAGCGAGTTGTTAGGGTATGAAATTTACTGCCTGGAAATATGGTGGAGGCAGGTTCATTTGAGACATTCAAGAGGGCATGTGATGATTATTTGGACAGAAATGGTGTGCAAATATATGGGGAAAAAGCAGGAGATTGGCACCACATAGGAAAACTTGTAGATACAATGAGCCAAATGGCTGCATTTTGCATCATAACACTTCTGAGAAATATTATTTCTGACTTAACCCTCAAGGACACTTCCATGTCTCTTTTTCTACACTAACTCTCTTGGTGGGGATGCCAAGACTTCAGAACTTCCAGTCATCTGATTGGGCCAGATACAACAGGTCTCTCTCACCATCCTTAATTAGACATCAAACTTGAGTAGCAATTTAGGAAACTGCCTTTGAGGATATTGCTATACTAACCTTGTTGCTTGCAAGTGCAGGCTAGGCATCCCCATTCTGGTCCAACTTCAGGGGCCTGAAACTTGTAGGAAATCCTGGGTGTTGCCTCCAGTCGAGAAGAAAGCACCATGTCAATTTTTCTAATTGCTTTAAGAAAGTAGAAATTCATTCTTAGAATGTACAAACATTTTTGTTGCATTTTAAACAAAATGTAATTGCCAATTTCTATTTTCATTTCCAACTAGTTTAGTTTGAACAGAATCATTATGAAATAGAAATGTTCACTAAATGTTGTTTGATGGTATTGCTAAAAATGTTTAGTGTAGGGAAGCAAAAAGGAACAACATTGAGATGATGTGCTGAAATAATACATGTCTTTCAGATTTCCTGAAATGCAGTATTTCCAACAGGAAAGTGTGAGGCAGATCTTGACAGATATCCTGTTTTGTTATGCGAGGGAAAATGAGCAGCTGCTTTACAAGCAGGTAATGAAATACTGTGCAGGTTTGGTTGAATAATTAAGCAGTTTAAAATTGGACTGTAAGAAAAAGTGTCTTGTGACATTTACTAAGAATAAATATGCATTCATTTTGGGCATAACATTCTGTCCCCAAAGCATTTAGGTCTGCTGCAAGTTATAGATTGCATATGTTTTAGTGTTCTGTTTGACTAGAATTTCATAGGGGAAAAAAAAACTTCCATACACAGAAGATTTAGTGAATTTCATATTAATGTTTTAATTATTCCATCTTTCCCTGAATTTGTCTATCTGCAGAGTTGCCTGCCTTTAAATTATAGAACAAGCTCCTTCTATACCATTTTTTAAATGTTCAAGTGCAGGCTACAAGAGATTACATCTGTAATTAAGTGTCTATTTATTGTGGCAATTAAATTTGAAAATCATACATTTGTATCGCATTTTTGAGCTACCTTTTATACAACTGTAGGAATACATTTCTTAATTCCTTTTTTTGTAGTATATATAATGCCAACATTAAGATTATTTTAAAAAAACAAAACAATACCTGGGAATGTAGAACAATACAATCAGCATTTGTAAAGAGAAAAGACCGTTAAAATTTTAGATATGGAACTCTGGCACTTAACCATACTGCATGATTTTTGCATTTTGTAAATTCATTGAGCCATTGGAGGGACTCCCATTTAAAAACTCTTAGTGCATTTTCCAGCGTACACATTTTAAAAACTTTTGGTAAAAATGATCCAGCTCTTTTGATTTCTTTTTGTGATGTTAATATTTTAGGGCATGCATGAACTGCTGGCTCCTCTTGTCTTTATCCTACACTGTGATCATCAAGCCTTCTCACATGCTAGTGAAACAGCAAATCCAAGGTAAGTTCTTTATCCATATAAGTTCTGTTTTATTCATTTTGAAGTTCAAATCAACCTGAAGAAGGTACAGTATTGTACCTTATACACAATATAGGTCAACTCACAGGGGAGGCCATGCTTGTTATTGAAGAGGGTGGTTTATTAGCTCATTAGCTACAATGTTACTGGTCAATTGTCCAGATTTACCAATGTGCAGTTGAAGTAGCATCATATGTTTTCAGGATTGTCTATCATTTAGAAGAGTGTCCATTTTCTTACTGTAATTGCGAGTCTAATACAGTTAGCATTGTGGATTCTAGAGAGACTGTTGGCAAGAGACAGAGAATTGAAAATGAAAAATAGGAAAAAGTAACAATGCATATATTTTTGTATTATATCAGTTACAAAGCGAATGTTGCTGACTAACTTTAATCTTTGTCACTGAAATGCTTCATATACGTAAATGGAAGTGTTAGTAGTTAACTGGATTGGATAATAATCCCAGCTCACATTTGCTCCTCAGAGTCTTAAATATGTATTCAAGTAATGTGCTGCACTTGTTACAAGAAAATCAAAACTTTTTCAGTTTTGTCTAGCTTTCTCATTGAAAGATCTTGGGTAAATGAAAAAAGCCTTGTAAGATGTAATACTTGGCATACTGGAACGCACCATATTTGGTGAGCTGGATCATGTTCCATCATTGCGTACAAATAAAATTGAATGAACACATGGGGTGCTACTGGACAAGGAGAGGGCTTTTTTTAAATTCAAGATATGCTTTCCAATAGTTTTTTTTGTCAACAATTGCCTTGATCTTGCAGTTATAAAAATGATTGCATAGAGCTTTATGTTGATTCTTAATGTGAGTACTTAGAGTTTGGCAGTGTTTATAGGTCAAGCAGGAAACACAGCTGAATATATTGGTGTAGAAAAGATTGTTTTACTAATTTTGCAGATTTATCTCTCCACAGTGAGGAAATGAAAGCTCTCCTCAACCCTCAGTTCTTGGAACATGATGCTTAGTAAGTTAAGTGATAACATTGTATTTTTAATATTGCTATTGTGTAGCTCCTCATTGTCTTCAAGCTTGTCATCTTATCTCCTCAGTGCAATGTTCTCTCAACTCATGGATACTGCAGAACCATGGTTTTCAAGTTTTGAAAGAGAAATAAGAAAGGTATGCTTATCCTGATTATTAGTTTGTCAGTTTGTAATAAATTAAAAATAACTTAGTAATCTTATGTAGGTTGTCCTCACAAGAGTTGCTTAACAGAAAACTGTTTAATTATTTACTTTAATTTCATGTGAATAGTCTGACTCTTTCAGTCCCCAATCGTACTCGATACCCATGTAGATTGAGGGAAAATTCTAAAGGTTTATTTATTATTTATTCACAATTTTTAAAAAATAATTTGCTGTGGAACTAAGTGCTGTTACTCTAGTCAAAGAACTAACTGCACTCCCAGTTTCACTTCTGTTTAAAAGAACAGTCCACACTAATTATCTTAATATTTCTGCCCGAAGCCAATTCTCTCATTCTCTGATGAATATAATTGCAGGAAATATGTTAATTAGCATTTCCATCCTGGAAAGAGAAAGAGGCATGATAATTGGAAAGATTGGTATAGAGTGCACAAGCAGATTTTGTCTTTACAGTCATTAGTATTTTAAAGCTAGGAGCTTTCAGTCTTCTATTCAGGAACCAAAAGGATAAGTGGTCTTCAAAATTGCCAGTGACGTTCATTGAAACAAATGTTTTGTTTAGGAGCAGCTGCAGCATTGAGAGTTCATAATAGAGAAAAGAAAATCTTCTATTATAACCTGAAATTTGATTTCTTTGAGTAGAAGTGTGCTGATTTTTGTTTTAATAAACATATATGTTTATTTAAAGGGATATTATCATACCAAAGGTGGGATAGATACACAAATAGAGAACATAAATGGTCCATTAGAATGATTTAGCCCTGTATAGAATATACAGCTTTGTTGTAACTTTGTGCTAAACTTTCAAAATTTTCAAAGTACATTCCAAATTGTAGTAATGTGAAACATGCATTTGCAGGTATTAATCTGTGTCAGAGGTATGAGAGTATGGTAATAACACTCAAAATTTGGCATAATTGAGAAGATTAACTCAGGAAGGCAGATGAATCAATAATGTGGAATATTATAATTCAAGTTGGTATGGAAATGTGCACACAATGAAATAAAGAAATTGTGCAGTTATTCAGCATTCAGTAAGAGTGTCCCGGTTCCATGAAATTGGTGCTAATAGGGCTACATAAATGGGACGCATTTGATAATAAGCCAAAGATTAACAATACAATTATATGACAAAAAATTAAAATTCACTATTATTTACTTTCTTCAGTCAATGTTATGTGTTGAAAATATTTCTGGCATTGGGAAAATTTCTGTAAAGGTCAACTGTGTAGGCAAACCTCAAAATAAAGCACTCAGTATATTGTATGTTAAACTAATGAGCAAGTCTCAGGTGGTTCTTCCTCATTATCTTGTGATCATTTTCATTTTCAATGAAAGAGAAGAAGTATACCTCAGTTTCATTTGGAATATAGACTTGATGGACCAAACTGGAAACATTTAGTAACACACATCCTTAGGAACCTGAAGGCAAGCTAGGCCCCAGGCTTGAACAATTTGGATCCAAGAGTATGTTTGGAGTTAATTGAGGAGCTGCTATATTCCCTCAATTATATCTTTCAAACCTCATTTTAAGTGGGTAACAGTTTGGAAAGTAACAAATGGAGCAAGGGACAAACTCTCAAATTACAGAGCTGTAAGCCATGCTTCAATCATGTAGAAATGTTGACAGTGGAAAGTGGCTGCTAATGAAGTCTCGTAGGCATCAGTGTTGAGCCAGTTTTGTTTATTGTTATAAATGACTTTGAGAATGAAATTTTGTTCGAAGTTCCAAGTTTGACACCAGCTTGCGTGTAGTGGCCTGTGAAGCTGTACAATTATGGTTGCCAGCTTTGGTTGGACGTATTCCTAGGGATTTGGTCACATGGCACTTTATTGTGCAAAAGCTTATTGCACTTACAGCTTGATAACTACTTTTTCAAATTTGAATCACCACTTACAGGAGTTTGATAATAAGCTGTGTTCAGAGAAATGTGAGTGCATAGATTTGGTCTTAATAAATGATCACTGCCCAGGCACAATATATATATCATGTCATGGCATCATCACAAGATGCGCAGATATGTGTAAATATGTTTAAATCACATTTGCAAGAGAGGTGTGTTTCAAATCTACAAAGGTCACATTCCCACTAGTGTTAATGTTCGGCACTAGTATCAAGGATACAGGAAATCCTCAATTGCAGTTGTGGTTGCATTCCTGAAAGTCTCAACTTTTATATGAAGTGCCTTTCAAGTGAAGCAGAGTCAACATTAAAACTGGTGTTAATTTCCAGAGGGCCATCCTTAAGAGGAAACCAAAAAAATTATATGTGCACCCTCTAAGTTGAAATATGGTACTTTAAATTTTGTTTTATTCACTTGTGGGCCAGCATTTACTGCCTATTCCAGGTTACCCTGAAGAAGGTGAGCTGTCTCCTTGAACTGCTGCCGTCCACATGCTGTAGGTTGACCTACAATGGCCTTATAAAGGGAATTCCAGGATTTTGATCCAGTGACAATGAAGGAACAGCGATATATTTTCAAGTCAGGATGCTGAGTGGCTTGGAGGGGAGCTTGCAGGTGTTCGTGTTCCTGTCTGCTTGTCCTTCTACCTGGAAGTGGTGTGAGTTTGGAAGCGCTCTTGAAGGATCTTTGATGAATTTCTGCAGTGTATCTTGTAATTAGTACACACTGATAGCACTGCTGTTGAGCATCAGTGGTGGAGGGAATGAATGCTTGTGCTTGTGCTTGTGAATGTAGCGCCTATAGAGTGAGCTGCTTGTCCTAGACGGTGTCAAGCTTCTTGAGCGTTGATGAAGCTGCACCCATCCAGGCAAGTGGGGACTTTTCTATCACACTCCTGACTCGTGCCTTGTAGATAGTGGATGTAATTTGGAGAGTCAAGGGACAAGTTACTCCCTGCAGTATTCCTAGCCTCTGACCTGATCTTGTAGCCATATGTGAGTCATGATTGAGTCTCTAGTTACTGATAACCCCCAAGGATTTTGATAGTGGGGGATTCAGTGTGGGATAGCTGCTGGGTTTGGTCACTGAGGGGTGGAGAGAGATGGCCACTCTTGTTTGGATGGAGCTTAGCAGTTCCCTGTGGTAGCTTGTACCCACCAGAGTCTTCACATCCTGCTGATGCCTCAGGAGAGAAGGGTATGGTCTGCTGAAATCAGTAGTGGCTGTAGCCTGTTGGCCATAGTAGGGAAAGGAGGCAAAGATTCTCATAGCTGGCTAGGAGGAGCTGCTCCATGTGTCTGGTGCATGCCAATCGAAGGATGAAGAGAAGCATCGTGACCTCTCAAGGCTGCTGTCTGGGCAGCAGCTATGGCATGGTCAAGGATGGACTACAATTCCAGTGAGCAATCTGGGGCATGTTGGGTGGGGACTCCCTGGTGCCCAGCTTGGGCAGTTGTGTGACATTGGGAATGGCCTCAGATTAGAATGAGAAAGGTTGTTCCAAAGTGGTGCCTATCCTGTCAGGGACAGTAAATAAAATTAAAACTAATCTCAAAATGCTCAGAGATTTTGGGTCTGAATAACTCACCAATGTTAAATCAAAACAACGCCAAATGGGAAATATTAAACAAGGTCTTCATGACCAATTTAAGAGCAATATATCTAGTTTTACTTCTCATCAAACCAACCTTCATCTGCAAGACATCAGAGGCTGAATCTTTTAATGTGGCAGAGTCTTGATTGGAGACAATTACAAACAGTTTGGCACCACTTCACTGTGTACCAATCCCAATTCTTGACACCTTTTGAACGTGCATAGCGTGGAGTCAGGTCTACCTTCTGCTGGGAAGATGATTTAAAATTTAATCCCAGGGCTGCACAAGCCAGGAGTGAAAGATCAATAGAAAGTAATAGCAAAGGTTTTCCTGCATGTATGACCCATACATCATTCTTTCGTCATACCTATAATTGCTGCCTTACGTTGACTCCAAACCCAGCAATACTTTGATTTTAAATTATTAGACTTCTTTTCAAATGTTTTTGTACCCTCACACCACCACCAGCTCTCCCCCACCCCCAATCTCCACCCCATCTTAATTACACACTGTCCTGTAACCTTGGAATCATCCATAATGTTTACATTCCTGTAACTTTGTTTCTTGTTCATCCCAGATTTTAATGCTCCTCCATTGATGACTATGTTCTCAAGTGCCAAGGCCCAAAGATCCAAAATTCCCCCTTGAACCTGCTCTGCCTTTCTAGCTCTCTACTCCTTTCAGCTGCTCCACAAAACTGACATCACCACCAGAAGTGTAATGCCTACATATGTCCTTAACAAGACCAAGTCAGTCTAGCAAATATTTGAGAGCAATAACGAGTGTTATAGCTACTTCATAGAGTGAAAATGTCCAGTATTGTTGCAGAAGACCGATTGCTCTGAGATTATCAAAGACCGTGATGCCCAAAATACTAGTTTCTAATGAACCATGTTTTTGGGCATGGCAAAAATACCAGTACCCATTATATCACATCAATATGGCTGCTGTGCCCACAGATCCACAAGTTATTCAAGAATCATGTTCACACCAAATGGGATAGATGGCTTGTTGACAGAAGGAAACTTTTGCGTGGCATGGAAAATGCAGACTGTTCTATTTAATGTTTGAGTTTGCATACCAGACATGCTATTAGTACACCAACTGTCGTAAGATCTTTCAAACAATGCAGAATATCTAGTTTAATAGATGGAGAGAATACAATTTGTTGTGGCAAGATAATTCTGAAACATAAAGTGCCATATTCCATCTATGTGGAGGTGCTGTTGTTGGACTGGGGTAGACAAGGTCAAAAATCACAATAGTCGAACAGGTTTATTTGAAAACACTAACTTTCAAAGCTGTGCTCCTTCCCCGGGTGTAGTGTGGAAGAGGAGATATACCAACGCAGAATTTATAAGCACAAAGGTAATAACCCTAAAAATGACTTGTTGGCACCTCCTGTTGAATCTTTAATCAGTTGGAAAGGAGACCCAGGTTTCTTTTGATTAAAAAGCAAGTCCCAGAATTTCTTTCAAGTCATTGCCCTTGGATAATTAAAGGTTTTATCAGTGTATACAAGAGGTGACATCTCAGGTCAAACAGTGCATTCTAGGTGTGATGCTTTGTTTCGATTCTGTCTGTGCTTTAACCTCGAGTCAGGCTCGTTTTATTTTTTTCAACAAAATAGAATATATCTGCAAATCCACAAACATCTTGGATGAAATAATTCACCCCATAGATTTATATATATATATATATATATGACAGGCAGTGGTTTCTTTTGTTGTTAACCAGTTTGAAAATCAGCCAATTAATTTAAACCAAGTACTGAGCAACTAAAAACCAATTAAATTTAAATCTGATGCTTTTGACAACCTAGGACCAATCTTATTATAAGAAATTAATAGGTCATTAAGCCTATAAAAGAAGACAGCGTTTGAAAATTGGGGTGAGCATCAACTGTCATCTGCCAGGAGAACAGCTCTCAGCTATTAAAAAAGAATCACTGGCTCTCACAGAATTCTCTAAGCTTTCAGGGAACCATCATCTAAACTAAAGGTACAGTGGCACTCTTAGCTAATATTCCTGACACAAGAATTCAACAGAGAAAAGCGTTCCTGACTGAGGATCATTGGAGGGGGCGTGGACTATTCCAGAAGACACATCCTGGCTGTAATTTCAAGAGATTAAATTTTAATTTTTCTTTTATTAATTTGTTTTATATAAGTGAGGGTTGTACCTGTTGGAACAGCATACCATTAGAATTTTGTTTTAGTCAGGACTAGTTAGGAGCAAGGGGGAGTTGTTCAGTTTGTTAGTAGTTCTGTTAATTTGTTAACTGTTAGTGTTAGATAAATAAATAGTTATTTGTTGATTGTAGAGTGACTTTCAGGAGTTTATTTTTATTTCACCTCCTTTATAACAGGTTGAGAGGTGAAAGGCAGATTATACCACTTTTCAGATTTCCTTTAACAGATTACAAGGTGAGGCGAGCTTCACTGGGTGTTTTTGTTTTAGTTATCAAAGGTGGAACTCATCTCTGCCTCCTAACACCACAAATAGAAGCATAGGAAGTAAATACTTTAATGGATAAAAATAAATGTTTAGGGAAGATGTATCTTGATTGTAAAGGAATTTTGCTCAAGCATGAGCAATATAACCATTCATTGTTATTAATCATCAGTGGTTTGATCACTGTGTTTGGTCTGATTACATGATGAAGACCTAAAATCTAGCAGGATTCAGGAGATTTAGTTGCAATTTGGATGGCTAGTAAAAAATATGACGGATATTTTGTGATTGTTTTAATAAAATGGAAGAAAGTTTTAACATGTATATTTTTTATTTGGACACTCATTTTTTATCTCTTTAGGGAAAAGAAGAGATGGTTACAGCTGTACCATTTGCAAGACCTCAGGACATGGGACCATCACTTGCAATAGTTTCCAAAGTAAATCGCATTCAAGACCAGTTGTTAAAGAAATATGACACAGAGCTGTTTATGCATCTTAATCGACTGGAAATAGCCCCTCAGATTTATGGAATGTAAGTGATTCTATGTAATTTTATCTGTTTTTCTGCACTGGTACACTTCCATTTTATTAAAAAAAAGTGCAAATTGTATAAAGAATTGTATAGTTAATGAATTCAAATCCATATAGTAAGAAATTAACCAAGGATAGGTTAATAATATAACCATATCCTAGGTTATGTCATAAGCTATGTGCAGGAAACAAATGAGCTTACTGAAACATACTTAGGGGTAACGTTAAAATTCTAATTAAACCATGTAGCCTAATGCCATAACTACCAAAGCAGAAAGAATTTGCACATATTCAGTTGTGTGAAAAAGTAAGCGAGCAATTGGGCTTTAAACTACATAATTCTGAAAAAGTGAAGGTTTCAGAAATATTTCTGAGCATGCCCATTTTTGTAGAGACTTCATCCCAATTATCTGCTGATTCTCTCCTCGTGAGGTCGGTCTCATTGACTCATCCAGTCTAATCACATGGTCCTTTGGGCACATAAGAGAGCAGGGAGTCAGTGCCCCTGCCCCTGTGGATTGAGGAATGAGTATACAGAGTAATGAGTGTATCAATAGATTTTACAGCTTCAAGATACTGCGACACCAGTTTCATTTATTACAAAAATGGCAATCATAATAAGTTTAACATCTAGCATTTTGTGTACGAAAGTAAATGAACAGTTAAGCCAAATTGAGTTATGCTTTTGGAAGTAAAATATTGTAGTTGCTGGAAATCTGAAATAAAAACAAAGTGCTGGAGAAACTCACCAGGTCTGGCAGCATTTGTGGAGAGAGAAACAAAATTAATGTTTCAAGTCCAGTTCTGAAGAAGACACGTACTGTCAGTATTGGGTGATAAGCGTCTGATTTTTGTGGAACATATAGGCTAAACTTTAAGAATCCTTAAAAATTCTATATGTTCCAATGCACTTCGCATTCTTCTAAACTCCAACAAATTCAGTGCCAACCTCTTGAAACTTTGCTCATAAGACATAATGGGGATCATCCTCATGAACCTCCTCTGAACTGCCTCCAGTGAAATAATTCTGCTAACCCAAATCCACTGTCAGACTGAAATGCAGGTTAAAAGTCCACAATTGCCAGTATCAAGGCACAAAGGATGATTTTGAAGGAGGTGGCCCATAAGATTGCTTATCTCAAACCAGACAAGTAGGAAGGCCAGAAGGGTTTCGGACCTTTGGAATTCAGGGGATAGTCCTTTACCATAATAGGAACTTGAGCAGTTGCAGCTGATTTTGGAGCAGATGTTTCCAAAAAGATGAGAGCCTCCAGTGCTAATACCTTTTCTCACTGCCAAGGAAAGTTGTCTTGGTTTCATGAATAGCCTCCTAATGTAACAAATACCCTGGCGTTTTGATCAAAAATCTGATTGGTGTCAGGAAAGTGCCTACAATAAACCCTTAAAAGCTTAGTTACTTATCCACTGTGGCTAGGTGGGTAACCAATCCTGCAGTCCAACTCCTACATAGCGATAGAAAAATGTTGTGGAACTGGCCCAGCAAGATTTCCCTCACGTGTTCAGGATTCCCATTCTGATGCTTCCACTAGTTAATTGAAAATCAGCCTTTTTTTCTGTTAATGGTCCATATTTTGTGAAATTGAGTTAGAAATAACATCATTGAGTAGAGAAATGCACCCACAAACACATGCATATGTATGCATACGTGCATAAATTATATAGTATGCAGTAAGACCATTAGAAATAGGAACAGTAGGCCTCGAGCTGCTCGAGTCTGCTCCACCTTTCAGTAGAATCATAGCTGAACCAACATTCTTCATCCCCCACTTTCCTGCATTTTCCTGGTAACCTTAATTTCCAGATTAGAAAAGAATCTTTCTGTCTCAGCTTTAACCATAAACAAGGCCCCTTCCCTTACAGCTGTCTGTGGCAAGGAGTTCCAAAGACACACAACCCTCAGAGAAGAAATTCCGCCTCATCTCAGAGTTAGATTAACACTCCTTTATCCTGTGACTATGCACTCTGGTCCTAGACTCTCCCATGAGGAGAAACATCCTCTCAGCATTCACCCTGTCAAGCTCCTTGGATCCTAAATTCTTCGAAACTCCAATAAGTACAATCCCAGCCTGTTTAACCTTTGTTCATAAGACAATCATTCCATACCAGGGATCATCCTAGTGAGCCTTCTCTTAACTGCCTCCAATGAAACAATGTCTTTCCTTGAATAAGGGAACCAAAACTGTTGTCAGTACTCCAGATGCGGTGTCACCAGCTCCTTGTACAGGTGTAGTAAGACTTTGCTAAACTCCCTTGAAATATGTATTTTTATATTTCCTGCTTTTTTTTTTCTAGTCTAATAATAAATTAATTGTGAGGAATATACTTTGTGATGTAGAGTATTGAAGAAGTTGGCTTTGCACTGCCAGAATTGCTGTGTCCCACTGATGCATGTTGCCTTATTGAAAATTGTTGTGTTTAACATTGCAGTATTAAAATAAAGCTCAAACATGTTGGTCAGACATTAGCTACATGCAAGGTTGACAAACTTATTTGGAACATTTTAGCCATGTTTCCCTCCATTACAATGGAGACTTCCCATCCAAAGTATTTATTGACTGTGAAGCACTTTGCCATTCTGAGATCAGGGAAGGTTCTATAGAATTGTAAAATTTTTCTTCTTTCTTTCTTATGTCCATTTTTGAAACATTATTCCAGTGTTTCATTTTTAAGTTAACCTAGCTTAATATGGTGTTAGTTACTTACATTAACAAGAATAGCTTTGGATGTATCAGTAAATTCTTTGCTCATGCCATATGCAATGTCATATCTCCCTTTCTGAATCTGTTATATAACACAAAGACTGAAAGGATATCTCTAATTCGTACTTTAAACGAAAAATGATCTATATATAATTCTAATATTTTAATATGCTGCAGTCAAATGCTACAGCAGCTGAAAGATTAAAATGTGGCAGAGTGTAACTTGATATACTCACTTTGAAGTTTAACATTTTAGAATAACAAGCAAATACTAATGAACTGTACTTTAACAGTTTTGTGGTTAAGCTTTCCTTCAACCACAAGGCACTTTATTAAAAACAGGAAACCTCGAGAGGTACTGTTTTTCTAAGAATTGTAATCTTACTGGGTTTACTTTTACCTCCCTTTTTTTGTGTTTAGACTTCTTAAAATGTTTATTTCAAAGAATTGTTGGTGAAGGGAGTGTGTTACAAACAGAGCTACTTTGGTCAAAAGTTGAAAAAATACTTTTTATCATAATAGTTCAGTCTAATTTTGATATTGCATAGTTTTCACAATTTTAATTGCATTTCCCAACAAAAATGTATATGCGATCCACCAGAATGAGTTGAGAGTGCAAACTGTATTTTGCATTAATTCCAATTAATATTAAAGTTCATGTACTAATCCTTATTATTTGAAAATATAAAATGTGTTTGTTAAAGGTGGTTTTTAGCATAGACTTGTTTCTTGAACATAATTTATAGACCATTATAATATGGAGTTATAGTGCACCTCATTAATTCAAAGCAAGCAGAATATATATTTATGCTTATCAATCCGCATGCAGAGAAATTCTGACCTCTCTTTTGTGGTGCTGAGCAGAGCTCACGTATTATCTTGGAAAGTTAGTGTTAGATTGCTAATCACTGTTAACTCTTGGAGTCAGTTGCAGGAAAAATGCATTAAAAGCTCAAGGTTTATGTTAGTTATTCTTCAGGTGAATCAAATGATAGTGAAGAAAAATATGGTCAGAACTTTTGCTAGGAAAATTACTATTTTGTGAAAAGTGTGGACAAAAGAGAGTTCTCGATTCCTATTCCACTGAAAAAGACTCTTCAGCCCATCATGTCTTCACCTGTCATCAAGTATCTATTCTAATCTCAGCCTTGTTTTGATTAACTTTATTTCATGTATGTAAAAGCAATAATATAGAGGGATAACATGGGAAATCAATATTGTATTGTTGAGAATATGTCAACATTTATTAGATAATATGTCAACATTTATTAGATAATATTCTTGTGAAGCACCTTGGGATACTTTGCAACTGCATTGTAAATGAGTTGTTTCAATGTATTCAGATCAATTCAGATAAGTGTTTTGTAAAGTTGAAGATGAGCTACCTGCCTGTAACTAGGTTTGAGTTTTGCAAATAGACCTGGCAGTCATTTGTTATGGTAGACCAAGTCTATGTATAGAAAGTTAAAATCCCCCACCACTACAGCCCTGTTATTCTTACTGATAACTGAGATCTCCTTACAAATTTGCTTCTCAGTTTCCCACTATCAGGGCGTCCTGTAGTACAATCGTGATAAGGTGATCATCCCTTTCTTATTTCTCAGTTCCACTCACATAACGTCACTGGATATAATCCCAAGAATATCCTAAGTACAGCTGTAATGTTATCCCTAACCAAAAACAACTCCCCCTCCTGTCTTGCCTCCCTTTCTAACCTTCCTATAGCATCTATACTCTGGAATATTAAGCTGCCAGTCCTGTCCATCCCTGAGCCACATTTATGTAATAGCTATGATATCCCAGTCCCATGTTCCCAACCATGCCCGGAGTTCATCTGCCTTACCTGTCAGGCCTCTTGCATTGAAAGAAATGCAGTTTAATTTATCAGTCGTGGTGGCAGGTTGCTTTTCAGACTGGAGGCCAGTGATCAGTGATGTGCATGAAGGATCGGTGCTTGGTCCACTGTCTCTGACGTTTATGTAAATGATTTGGATGTGAATATAGGAGGTATGGTTAGTAAGTTTGCAGGTGGCTGCAAAATTGGTGGTGTCGTGGACAGCGAAGAATGTTACCTCAGAGTATAACGGGACCTTGATCAGATGGGCTAATGGGCCAAGGAGTGGCAGAGAGAGTTTAATTTAGATAAATGTGAGGTGTTGCATTTTAGTAAAGCAAATGAGAGCAGCGCTTATACGTTTTAATGGTAAGGTCCTGGGGTGTGTTGCCGAGCGAAGAGACCTAGGGGTGCAGATGTATATTTCCTTGAAAGTGGAGTCGCGGG